GATGGGTTTGAAGTATGTTTTGTTGGTAGGGTTGACAGTACTTGCTGATGAATTAGATGTGGGGAGTGAGGGTAAAGGAGAAATCAGTCATTTGAAATGACCATGTTAGACCCTTGCATGAAAGAATATTCATCTGATCCTGTATCAGTGTGCTGGCCCCGTTAGTACTCTGCAACACAGTGGCAGTGCACACTTAGCTCTACAGAAAATGGAGATGTTTCAATGGAATTTAGAGTCATTTGCAGAACACTTTAGGAGCACCGCCTGAGTGCCTGGTGCTGTGGGGACGAAGGGATGAATACATCATTGTTCTAAAAATGTAAATATATTTTTCATTGTAGAAGTCACAGAAGACTCACATGTTTGTTTACATACATAGAAGGAAAACGAAAACGTTCCAAAATGTTGAAAGTGATTGTCTCTGATATAATTTCGGCCAATATGTATATATATATATATATATCTTTCAGTTTTTCTGCAATGAGCATTATTCGATTTATAATCATATTGTTTTTAAAAATAAAGGTATTATAAGTACATTTCAGAAAATTTTGAAGAGAAGAAAAATTCATTCATGATCCATACCACCTAAACTCCAATCACCATTAGTATCTTTTAATATTTCCTAACAAATTTAGTCAATGTATATTTTAATGGTGCTGTAATCATACTAGGCATTCTTCCAATCCTATTTCCAATCCTATTTCTGGATTTTTCTTTAAAGACATTTAGTGTCAAAAGGAACGAAAACGTTAAATAACTTTAGACTCTAGGAGGTTCAAAAAGGTTTTCTTTCCTTGTTTCTCTTTTTTGCCTTTTTGCCCATGTGTTGAGAGCCACGAGTATATCTGTATCTGTTGGCAGAGGAGAAGGAAGCCCTAGAAAAGCTGAAGGTATCGGCAGGTGCTGGCGTCACTGAGAGCCCAGGCCCTGGAGGAAGGGGGAGGACAAGTCTCAAAGTGCAGACAGAGCAGTGAGGAGCAGGGTGAGGAGAGGTCGGGGCCGGGGCCCACACAGGCCCCAAAGTGCAGACGGAGCATGAGGAGCAGAGTGAGGAGAGGTCGGGGCCGGGGCCCACAC